CCCCCCTTGTCCATTGTCCTCCCTTTCCCCCCCAGCCTCTTTGGCTCCGGAGCCCTCCGAGGAGGGGCGGGGGGGGGATTAATACAATGCCACACAATACAACTGCAAAAAGAAGAACAGGAGGACTTGTGGCACCTTAGAGACTAACAAATTTATTAGTCTCTAAGGTGCCACAAGTCCTCCTGTTCTTCTTTTTGCGGATACAGACTAACACGGCTGCTACTCTGAAACAATACAACTGAGGCATCAGGCCACCAGAGCATCAGTTCCTGCTCCTGGAAGGAAACCGCATCGAATCCAGTTGGGCTGCAAGAACGCGACGGGTTCGAGCAACATTGGCCATGTCGCCTCGATTTCCGGTCACCTCTTCTCGTTTCTTGGCAGGGTGGGAACAAAGATCCTTCCCCCCGCCCCAAATAATAAGGAAGTATTAAAAACCCGATCCTTGCAAATGTCCAGGGGCCAGGAACAGGCTCATTACAGACACCCCCAGAATGTGGTTCATTTCAGGTTTAGCTTGATCGGAATTTATTCCATAGATTTAAAAATAAAGACATATTTCCCCTTAGACTCGGTGTCCGTATCGTGGGAACTGTGTCTGGATAAAAAGGAAAATTAAAGTTTGGGTTAAACTGACACACGATCCAACCCCTCCTCCAATACAATCATGGAATAAAAATCTAGTCTTGGTTGTACCTTTCACCAGCGACTGAGAAAGTCTGCGAGCCGAGCCTCTCTTTCAGTGTTATCTTTACCTCTCTCTTTGCTAACAAACAGGCAATGCCCGTGTAATATCAAAGTAATCGTGATTATTCCGCATCCTCGTTATTATCCCTGGTTGCACTTCTCCACTTCGGTCCCACCCACCCAAGTCCTTCACGGCAAGATTCCCAAGCAGCCGGGGGTAGCCGGATGTCTGACACGTTGTCTCAAATACAGTTGTTTTTAAACAATATATTCCAAACCAGCAAGAAATCTCGCCACCTTTCCCATTTCTAGTAGCTACCGCTTTTTTATTTTTTATTTTAAATCCCTGTTGCAGGAAAAAGAGTTGGCTTCATTCAGATTCCCTACACCCACCCCCCCTCCCCAGGACATAAATTGTTTCAAGCTACAATTAAACAAACTGGATCATTTATTAATCCTCGCTTGGGGTTGATCTGATGGATGAAGTCGTTTGAAGCCACGTGCTGGCTAAATTGACTCTGCGAATCTTTTCAATAATTATGGTGCTCCCTAGGAAGGTTTGCATGAAGGGGTTGATTTCTTAGCCGAGGTCCGCACTGGAGCTCTGGGATGGTGGGAACGGGGAGTGTATGTGTGTGAGTGAGGGAGGGAGTGTGTAAATTCTCTCTTTTTTTTTTATGCAAAAAGAAAGTTTCTCAAAGTTCGTTCAAAGTCTCAGGCGGCCGCTGCGAGGAAAAGGAGATTTATGATGAAGACAAGAGGGTAAAAAAAAAATAAAGAACAGACCGAGCAAGTGAAAACAAACAAACACACACACACACACACACACCCCAAAAAATAACCTCACAGATTTATGTGTTTTTGCATTTTAGTAGCTTCTACCCAGGGAGTGAAATCCGGGCAGGTTGTTATAGCTACCCTAATCCACAGGGGTCCCCCCCCCCAGTCTATTTAAACCCCCTAAATCTTCCTCCCCCTTTTAAAAACTACATTTTATCTCTGGCTTGTGGGCCAACATGCCCCTAATGAGTATTAAAACACTATCTTCTTGCAATTAGCTCAATCCTGCCTTCCCGCTCCTGATTGACAGAGCAAGCAGAAGCATCAGAATTTTCCCTTTGGCAATAAGTGCTGATTGGGTCCTTCTAAAGAGAGCGACTTCAAACTTTTTTTTTTTTTTTAATATTTGCCTTCAGTGTCTTGGCTGAGAGAAGAGTTTTTTTACCTCTCTGCGATTTTTTTTTTCTCGAGAGGAGTTGGGGAAGGAAGAGAGAGGATTATTTACCTGGCTGGGCTGAGTTCATTTGATTTTATTTGGGTTTGTTTTTAATTTATTTATTTGACTCACACCATCCTCGTAAAGCAGAAGAAAGGAAAGTGTTGGCAACTCGGGTTGAATTAAAAAAAAAAAACCACCCCAAACTTTTCATCAACTTTTGGCGATGGGCTGTATTGGATACTTTCTGTTTCTGTGTGGGTTGAGTCGGGCTATGGCAAGTTATCCAATCTGGTGGTAAGTTTGATTCTTCTTTTTTTTTTCATTTAAAAGGATATTCCCCCCCCCACACACACACACACACACACCTTCTGCTTTTCTGCAATTCCTGCTTTTTATGATGACTTGAAATTCTCCATTCGTTGCCACTTAGCTAAAGAAGTGGAATTGTTCCAACCCCGGGAAGTTTTTTTTTAGAATCCGCATTTCAACTCTTTTATTTATACATTCGCGTTGTTTATTATGACTGGGTTATACCTGATCTCTCGTCATTTCTACTGTAAAAGAGAGGGAGAGGGAGAGAGATCGAAAGTTATTTTTTTTAAAGTGCTTTGATCCTCTCCCGCGAAGAACAAAAGGCACGGACTGAATTAAAGAGATAATGATACAAGTTGACATGAGTATTTCAAGGTGATTTTGAGCTAGTCAGGTGGAAGGAAAGACGGGGGGGGGGGGCGGGTTGGAGATTGAAAACATTTTTTTTTCCTCGCTTTAAAGAATATTTAAAAAAATCAATCCAACAAACAAGAAGTAGGTAAGACAGGATTGAACCACCTGGACTAGTTATGTAAAGAAAAGAGAGAGCATTGGTTAGAGCGAGGACTGGGACAGATTTCTCGATATAGACTTTGATATGATATCGATGATATTGTATAGTATGGGATGGGTAAGATTCTGTTCCCGTAGCTTCTGGAAACTTGGAAATTATGGGCCAGATTCGGAACACAAATCTTAAGGGGTCCAGTGGAAGTCAGAGCAGAATCGGGTCCTGTGGGTTATAAACTCTCTAGGGCAGCGAGGCGGAAAGAACAACAAGTCTGGGGAATGCCACCTTGGCTACCTAACGCCGTCCAAAAGAAATAGGTGGGTCATTGGTAGGCGAAAAGGGAAATCTTCCTTCGACAGGCAGGCTGTGCAAAGGGAAAGGGGGAGATAGACCAGAATCGCTTTCAGCTTTCTGCTCCTCGCATCCGCGGGCAAGAGCAGACAGAAAACAGGGGGCGAGGACACCCAGATAGACGCTTTGCTCCTTGAAAGCCAAATAACACCATTATTAAAAAGCAACGCTCCCCCCGGTACCATTCTGCAAGGTGGAAATAACCACAAAGCTTTCCTTTGAATCTGGGGCGAGTTTATACCGATCGTCTCCCCTTTTCATGTTAAAACATAGGATGGATAACATGGAGGGTGGACGAAGCCGAAGAGGCGGATTCAATCTTAGATTCCTAATAAAGCTGTTGGGGACAGATCTGTCCCCCTCTCATTCTTGTTTCGCCTGAATTTCGCCTTTTTCTCTCCGTTGCTTTTGAACTCACAATTGCTGTAGAGAGGGGGGCGAAATAGACCAGATGCACGAAAGATACATCCGTCTCCAAGATATATATTGGAATTTAAGGGGGTGGTGTGTCTCATCTAACCGTCTTAATGCCCCCCAAACTTCACTGCTTCTCAGAGCCCTGCCGCGGCGCAGAAAACACCCCGCAGCCAAGGAGAGCAGGTGTGAGAAAGGAAGGACAGATTTTCCCCTCCAAAAGCAAGATGCCTGGGATAGGGTTTTTCGTTTTGTAACTTGTACATTTCGTTCCAGTTCTTTATTCCCAGCTCCCCCTCCCTGCAATGCTCAGATCGATTCAGGGCATTGATTCCCTGAGCCATGATGAAACACACATCCGTGCTGTGGTGAGAGGCCGGGTGAATGTTGCATCCTATCCCTTTAAGAGCTCATCTTAGCGCTCCCACCGCAAAAGCAAATGGAAGTAAGGGGTGCAGAGGAAGGCATGTAGCTGCAGATCGGCTGTAATTACTAAGTTTAGGTAATTGGAATGAGGGAAACCCTCGCAGAGGAAGGTCCTGTTTTGAAAACGGTTCCTGGGCAAGGCGCAGGAAACAAACACAAACGAGCCTTTAGCCAGGCAGGGGTCTGCAGCGCTAGGAGTAGCCTTCCTTACTCAGTGCTTAGGGACTCTCGGGAGGTGCTGCAAATGTTAGCTGGTTTCGCTGGACCCATAAGTGTCCCGGTAAAGTTCCCCAGCAGGAATGTGGTGCAATCTCTGGGCTGTGTCCATGTTTGCCCGTGTGTGTAGGGAAGGCAGGTCGTTTAGAGGGGGTTTTGCTTGAATTAAAATCGCACACCCTGTGGATGCGCGCGCGCAGAGAGAATTTTCAGTGGCATGCCCCACTTTAGACCACCGCTTTTATAATGACGTCCGATCTCATCAGTTTCAGCAAATGTATATACGATATGCGTGCATGCTGCAAGGGTATATTTCTGCCCAGCCACTTGAACCCGCCGCTGTAAAAATTGCACGCAGCCACCGAGTGCCAGCTGCGCCTGGTTTGATTTTCGCCCGAGGTTTACGAGAGGAAAGCTGGGGCGCCGGGAAAGGCGAGAAATGATCCTGGTAGCGTACCTGGCTCTGTTCTCGCTCTGTGCATGTATGTGGAGAGGAAGGGGTGTTGAAGGCAGAACCCCCAACTATGTCAGGTATGTCTGAAGCAGGGAATTCGCTTGAATGGCAGAAGGGTAATAAAATGCAAATGTGTTCCTGATAAGACAAGCACACTGAACACCTGGACTGGAAGCATTAAAAAGCGATCTTTTATTCACAGCCTCCATAGAACTTATCATTAGAAACTCTCTGCCACATTCCTGATTGGGGAAGGAAATGCATTCCACCGAAACCAACATAAATATCCCCTTGTCACCTAGCCCAGCAAAAGGAGGAGGGGTGGGGGGGGATCTACACCCCCCCCCCCACCATGAAAGTCCAGGAAGATCAAATCCGTTGCAGCCAAGTTTAGACTGAGAATCGTTACCCGACCCCTGTTGAGTTTATTTTCATGCGATGCAACAGGCTGGAGAAGGAGATGGGACCCCCCCCCCTTTGCGAAAATACAGGGGAAGGAGGAGACTAGGAGAATAGCCCTGGGTTCCTCTTCTCTCTGCTGTATCGCCCGGGAGTTAGGGCAGAAGGAGCTGGAGCAGCTCTCGTGCAAGGTTGTTAGGGCATCAGGTGTGGGGGCGGGGGTGGGTGTGTTTTAAAACACGCAGCAGGAAACGGCGTGAGATCCGATGCAAAGCAACGTTGCAGGCATCTCCCTTTCAAACCGAGCGAGACACCCCCGGGGCATGGAATTGCAAAGAAATGTTGATTGGGAGGAGGGGGGGGGGGTTGTTGTTGTTATTTTAGCTGCCTAAATCACCCGTTTATTCCCAGACGAGATTAGACGCCCCTCGTTGGGCTGATGTGGAAGGCGCATGCACTGGGTGCCACGGGCCCTTTCCGTGGGAAAGCAGAAGCCCAAGTCACATTAGAGAGGGAAGGGGAGAAAAAACCCGGAGTCGGGGGGCGGCTCGTTCTTTGGTTTGCCTGGTGAGGATTCGGATAGAAACCACCAAATCTGCAGTGGAATTGATTTCTGTAATAAAGATTGCACGTCAGAAGGAGACTCCAAATCCGTTGTTTATTCAAACCCCCGCCCCCCATCCCCCAAAACACCCGTATTGTGATCTGCTAAATCCAAACACTCATTTTATTTTGGGAGATCCAAACTTGCTTAGTCCGAGCAGGAGGGAAACAAACAGAGGACATTGCCTCAGTCCCTCCCCCCACTTGTACATCACCCCCCTAAAGCAGCCTGTAGCTACTTAGAAACTTGCAGCCGAGATGAGAAATGTGTCAGACATATTCCCCTTCTGTCCCCACCATCAAACAACCTGCATAATACTGGCCTGGGACTAACACGTAAACGGCCCTAATGCATTTACCTCTACGACATTTCCATTGCATTGGGCTTCTAGGCAATCTTCTCAACCAGAAAAGCCAGGCGGGGACTCAGGAAGGTCATACTCTTATAAGCTTTGGTTGCTTAGTCTCCTCTGTAGGGTAAGCTAACTGGCACCATACTCTGTGTGTGGTGTGTATTGTGTGTGTGTTGGGGGTGTAGGTTTCAATATACCAAGAAAGTATATTTTATCTATCTATCCCCATACACCCCATCTATCTATCTAATCTATCTATGCCCATACACCCCCTCTATCTATCTATCTATCTATCCCCATACACCCCTTCTATCTATCTAATCCATCTATGCCCATATACCCCATCTATCTATCTATCTATCTATCTATCTATCTATCTATCTATCCCCATACACCCCTTCTATCTATCTAATCCATCTATGCCCATATACCCCATCTATCTATCTATCTATCTATCTATCTATCTATCTATCTATCTATCTATCTATCCATCTATCTATCTATTCTCTTAGCTGGATCACCATAGTAGCTTACCCCTGTATGGAAACGAAATATTAATGCAAATTGAGGTGTGTGTAACTTCAGCTCAAGCACAGAGATGCATGTCTTGTTAGGTTGAAAAAAAATAACCAGCCAAAATATATTTCTAACAAACGCATTTAACTGACCAAGAATGACGGTAAATGTGAGTTTCTTTCTTATTTTTCCCCCAAACATTTTTACAGTGAGGGCAGATTAGACCCTGAAATATTTTATGTATATATATTTAAATAAGATGCAACCATTTCCCCTGGGGCTAATGTTGGGATTTGAACGTGAAGGCAAGTTCCTAAAATACATCCTAGAAAGAAATGAAGTGACCTTTACTTTACGGCAATGGGTGTCTCAGATGTCTTTTATTAGTGATGTCTTGAGACCATGAGACAGAGACACATAAATAGAGTTCATTCTGTCTATACTACCAGCTCAGCTGTTTTTAGCCCTGGACGACTAGATGCTGACAACGGTTGTTAGTGATAGGTCAGTTTCCTACTGTACATTGATTGGTGATGTTAATCTGGATTTACACGGGTATAACTGAGATCTGAGCCTTACTGAGGGCCTGATCCAGTTCCCGCTAAGATCCCTGGGAGCTTTCCCTTGTGTTTCACTGAAGCAAAACAACTTTCCCCAACGCAGCACAGAATTCTACAACTTGAGCTAAAAGAGACACTCCATTAGCTAGCAGTAGGAGGAGGCTTTTATCCTCTAGTAG